CTTAAAATTTACTTTAAAAAAAAAAAATGTGCACTTCAACAAACCCACTAAGGCCACTCATGCTATAGATACCTAGGATTGCAAGGAGATATTGTTACCAAGACCCTAGAGCACGCACCTTTGTATCACCGAAGGGAGACCTCTTTCACTGCCTACAACATTCCTGAGATGTAGGGACAAAAGCGTTACCAGTGCCGCCGATTTTGCGTACGGAGTTTAGTTTATTTCTGGGTAAAGGAAATTTCTTCCCCGCTTCTCACAGAAACCCTCGCGAGGCCAAGAAACACAACGCGTGCCGGGCCAGCCGCGCCGAACGCGGGAACGCCCGCAACAAGAGGCAGATTCGCGACTAACGCTTGGCCGGTAATTTTCTTATTGGAAAACGTAAGGAAAAAAGGGAAACGATGACCTTTAGATGCAATAAGGTTTCTGCACAGGCAGCAGAGGGAAGGATCTCCGTTTAAACACCGATAACGGCAGCATCTCCCCCCCGCTACTTGCTGCGAGCCTGTGAAGTCAAATCCCATCCACACGAATCAGGTAAAGTTTCTGTCAACAGCTTCAATCATGTTTTAGGCACGCTGCATTTTCCTTTCTGTACTCTACCATAGGACTATAAAAAGGAAATCAAGTTAAATGGGAATTTTTTTGTACCATGAGAAGCAGCACAACGGCACCTTCAGCAAATTTCAGACTGCAGCACGTTTAAAGAAAAGCTTGATTTTTAAAGTTACAAGAGAACATCGTTGTCCTAATAAGTTAGAATTCAACAACAAAACCCCTTCAAAATTGTTTAACAAAAACTGTGTGCAAAAAGAAAAAAGTTTTAAACAACCGGCCTCGATACAGAGCAAAGAGTGCGCGCGAAGCCCAGGGTACCAAGGCAGACACTTACTGGTTGGAGTTAATACCATGCTATAAAAGCGACCAAACAACTGTCTGGGGCCAAACAGTCACTACTTGTGGTACTTCAAGTAGCTGAGGGATACGTTTATTTTAAAATATCTTTCTGCAGCTTTCCCCTTTTGTCAGCTCTTAAAATCTGCGTGCGCTTTTCCCCTTCCATAAGGAGTCACCCCAACAGCCCCAGCCCTGGGAACAGCGGAGGAAGCCTGACATCACCTTCCTCCCTCTCTTTAAAACTGCAGCGTTCGCATAAAACAGTACATAGAATTACCGATTCAAACACCATTATGGTGAAAAGAAAACATTAAGGGTTTAATTTAAACAATAGTTAAAATAACTTTCCTTAAGGTGACGCCCGTCCTCACCACTTGTGTCCAATTACTCTGGTGTGATTAAATTACTTACCTTCAAGAAAAAAAGAAAAAATCCAAAGATGCATTTCACTGGATTTCCACTCAGAGGTCTCCCCCTTTAATGCCAGCACCAAGCAGCACCCGCTCAGCGAGCGCTGGGTGCGCTGTGCGTCTATAAAATGCCACTAATTAATTAACCTTATCTAGTGTTCCGCAGTCGGCTACTTGAGGTGGAGGGGCGCGAGCCCTCCCGAGGTGCAAGGCTCAGGTCCAGCCCCCCTCCCCAGTACTTACATTCGGATGCGTATGGAAAACCTGCTCTGGGGGTACGACAGGAGGGGAATTCCCCAGTTCTGCCTCTAAGGGGGGAGAGGGAGGCGCAGGCTTCGCGTTGGCACGTTCTGCACTGGAAAACCGCACCGTATGGAGAACGCGGGGGATTACACCCTCGGCTCCTTTAGCTCTGCCAGCCGCAGAAGTCATGAAATATCGAAGCAACGCTACGCGACCTACTCCAACCACGCTGGCATGGAGGGACAAGTCATTTACCTTCCTCTGAAGTCATCCGACTGGACTCCTACTTTCTCAAAAATATCAAACAACAAACTGTAACAGCAGAGACAGTAACAGGAATTAACGACTAACACCGTGACATTTCAAATGATCTCCAGACGCCGAGACGGACGTTGTCTGAGAACTCAATTTAGGAGATTCGGAACCAAAAACTAGAAAGGTCAGTTTGACGTTATTACACAGAAAATAAATATTAAATCTGCAGCAAGGACAGCATGAGGCGAAGGTTCCAAGCTACGGCATGCAGAGCAGGCAACAGAGCATTTTGTAGACAGCTGCAAGTTGTTCTGCAAACCTCCTGTGCTTTAACAACTTCAGCAACCAGCCACAGCTACCTTTCTCCAGAATTTACACGCCTTGGCATGACTGGAGCTGCGGAGACGCTACAACGAGAGGTTCAACCCAAGAGTCAAGTCAGGATTTAATTCTGCCACATGAAAAGCATGCTAGCAGTCCCACGAGGATCACTGCAGCTACTCTGGGCCAAGTCATGTTTCTTGGCCAAAGTCCCTCAGGAAGGAGAGTTCTGGGTGACATCTAGGACCTTAATCCCTTCCAGACAAGCCAACGCACCAAAGTGTATGACATGCTGGTGAAGGAGCTCTAGGAAATAAAGAAAAGTACACCCACCCAGCAAGATTTGAGAATAAAGCTACCAATTAAACAAACTGAACTAACGCACCTGGTCATCAGACAGAAGCATAACACCTCCCTAACCTGCCCCACGGTGGAAGCTCTCCTGGTTGCCCTAACGTGAAGGCAAACCACGAAACACGTACACGCACCAGAGCTGAAGTAACGGCAGCGGTTTACGTAGACCACCTTCACTGGCATCAGTCCAAGAATGCTCCTCATCCCAAAACACAAAGCCTTGAGATCTTCAAGATTCCTCAGTCAAAAGCTGGAAATGGAGACCCAGGACTGGAAACCCTGAGCAAATAAATGGTCTCCAGATCACGCGAGTGTAAATCCACGTACCCGCTTTGAAGCTTTTCAACGCTTCTGCAGTACAGAAATTACACAGCTTCTTTAGGGCAATGTTAAGCACACCTTCCCCGCCTAAGTTCTGACACTAGTATCACATACTTCATTTAAATAGTTTTAATAGGACTTAAGAATTAATAAGAACTTTTAATTCATCAGTGCCCTGCTGTATGGGCATTCAGGGATAAAAATGTTTTGCCCTGTAGATAGCTAAGTGTTTGTAGCACCTAAAGCAGTCATAAACAAAAATTGCTATAAATAAATTAAACTTTAAATCCATGCGTAATTTAAAGTTGGATTTTCATTGAACAGCTGTTGAGGATATACTGCAGTCTAAGTCTTAATACCACAGGGGTTTTTTATGCAAATACTTCTTTCCACGTCAGTGAAGATATTCCAAGTATGCAATCATTAAATCTGCATTCGCTAATTACATAACCGCATTTTAAAGTTGGCATTCTTCAGCCTTTCCCCCCAAAATATACTTGAAGGCACCAGTATATGAACTATTGGCCTGTAAAATTTCAGTTCTTAAAAGAGCCGGTAAGCTCAGTCGTGTCCGAAATCTCTATTTCTTCTCTGCACTCTTTCTCGAGGGCCAACAAGCAGCTTTCCCTGCCCCAAACTTCATAAACAAAGTAAAACCCAGACCCCGAACAAAACATCCAGCCCAAGCCCTGCAGGAACCGCGCTCGCTGAGCCTCCGCTCGGACCGGCCTTCCGCAGCCAAGCTACAAACCCCTGAAAACAGGGGAGGAGGGAGAAAGCCAGAACTGACAGAATCCCAACTATAGGGGCACTCTGTGCCGCTATGAGAACTGAGGTAACAGCAGCGAGTTGTTCCTAGTTTGCTATGTTACAGACTTTCAAATGAGTATTAGCTCAACATTAACGTTAAAAAAACCAAAAAACCTAAAACAAACCCACAAAACCAAAAACACCACCCAAACCAAAAAACCACACAGCCAAGCAGCCCCCACAACAGAAGAAAAATTAAGACAAGCTAGTGAGATAGGCATTGTTAAAGGATCTTTACAGCTGACTTCTGCTTTTTAAATTAATATAAAGGAATCGGTTTCTGGTTGTACTGTTGTTTAATGTAGAAATGAAGCATCACAAAAAAGACCTGTTGTGCTTTTTGGCATTTTCCGCTGACCCCTGCAAACTATACAATGAGTTGTGTTCTCCAGAAACATAAAATTGAACTGGATTGTAATACAAAACTATTAACTGGTATAAACAAGGTACTGCCTCAATTATTAGAGTAAGCCCATTCAAAAAGGAAAAAAAAAAAAAAAAATGGCTGCAGCAAATAGTTAAGCGTTTCTAGTTTTCGCTTGTGGCATTGACATTAATATTTGTATAAGCTTACTAGGTAAAGACATGCCATCGCAACCGCTAAAGAACGTTCACTTCCTAGTTTTGTATCTATTACATGAATATAATTTTGCACTGATCATACATCTAAATGAAATAACTCTACTGTTTAAGGGAAACCCCTTTAAAAAGGAAAAAAAAAAAAAAAAATGGCTGCAGCAAATAGTTAAGCGTTTCTAGTTTTCGCTTGTGGCATTGACATTAATATTTGTATAAGCTTACTAGGTAAAGACATGCCATCGCAACCGCTAAAGAACGTTCACTTCCTAGTTTTGTATCTATTACATGAATATAATTTTGCACTGATCATACATCTAAATGAAATAACTCTACTGTAAAAGTGAATGCAGGGGCAGAAATATTAAATTAAAGCCACTGGTCCAAAAACTGTTTCTAGCAGGCTGGTCCACTTTTGCTTTTCCTGGTCCTGTTCAGAAGATTAGCACTCTTGGTTGGTACCAAAGAAAACTAAGATCACTGGTCTACTGGATCTTCTATCGCTTACAGACGAACACTGGTCCAGTTCAGGATATTACAAACAACGTACGGTGGTTACTTGCTTAACAACCTGTCGTGGTTCCCAAAGAGTATGTTGCTCTCCAAAGTGGTTCCTTGCCACTTTTCTTCATAAGGCAGCAGCCAAGGCTAGGGCCTTCTCCCTTTTCTTGATATTTACGATTAACTTTGCTACAATGCATACAGTAGAAAGACCTTTCTCGTATAACTTCTTGCAGTACAGCATTTATTCTTTCTATATCTCAGAAGAAAGCTCCTGATGAAACCTTCCACTCGTAATAAGAATGCAACTCTTTTGAACTCAAACAGTTTTATTGAATGTTTTCTTGCAGACTTTCTGCAAAGTAGCTTCTTTTGAAAGAAGAGAGAAAGAAGGGGTTTTCGGGAATACCAAGTTAAAAATGTGAGCTGAACTAAACATGCCATACACATGCTGATAAGAATTTAACACACATTCGTCCGTATGGGCACTCTTCAGTAGACTGGACCAGTGTTTCAATGCAAATTCCAGCCCCCAGAGAACTACATGGTTTAGATTTCACAGTATGACTTTTCCCCCTGTAACCTGGGGGAAAAAACCTTAACTGGTTAATTGACCAAGTTCTTAGCTACTCTGTCCGTCAACGTTCTGAGACATCAGAAAAGACTGGACCACTTCTTCAGTGGATTGAGGGCTGGTGCTTACGTCCTCCAGAGCATCCGTAACCGAGAACTGCCGATCCCGCAACCGGTTCCAATTGGCCAAAATATTGTGGTATTCAAAAACTTTCTCGTAATTGCCAATGGAATTGTACAGTTTAATGAGACCTCTGTAATCATATTCAAGTCCACTGTATCCTTCGCCAAAAAGCTTCTTTCCTGTAGAAGTCCAAAAGAAAACAAAATTAAAAAGGTAACCCACCCGTACGATGCATCTTACTTCTCGTGGCATTTTTACCAACAACACGAACCTTTTTGTTATGAGAAATCATCACGTTTTTGCTACGTTAAACCAAGAACACAAGCGACACGCAAGCTTCCTGGATGATGGTTTGAATTCTATCTACCTTCTCCCTTAAGGGTGTTGTAACTTGTCCCCAGGGACTCCGCAGTCAGATCATTAACTGTACGATAGCTTTACACGCATAAAAATCTACCAGTCATATAAAGAAGGCAGTCATTTTGTGTCGCAATTTCACTCCAAATTCAACTTAAACAGTGATGTTGTTTTTCAGTTTTCTACTTTAAAATCGTATTAACACGCTGTACATAACTGTATGACGTAAGATCGTCTGTCTCAGAATTGAGCTATAGCATGTCCCAAAGAGGCGTTTGATTCGGAATTATAAGTTCACTGCAGATTATAATGGGCAAAAAAAAATATTTAATGAGGGCATAGTTAGGCTGACAGCCACAATAGTTTTCCATTTCTTTCAAAATTTAACTACATTCTGCACTTAAGTTGTAGCCACAACTCCAAAACGTAGTCTATAGACTAACACTGCAGCTTGTAATTCGTCAGATTCCAGATGCTTTCAAGAGGGAGCTCTGACAGAGCACGGAAAATAATACAGTTCCAGAATTCAGTCCCCGGGAGAACATTCGAGAAAAAGCATTATATTTGGACAGAAAGCACATACACAATAAACACCTTGCATTCCATTAAGTGCTTCACTAAAAACTTCAATATGCTTTTTAATAACGTTTCCTGTAGTACTAAAACTGCGATGAAGTCACACATTGTACGAATCACCTACCAATTGCTATGGATCTCAAATAAAGCTTTTCGGCATTTTCATATTGATTCATATCATAGTTATAGAGAGAAGCTAGATGACCCACTGACAGGGCAACTTCATAATCTTCTTGACCCAGAAGCTGCTCCTTAATCTGAATTGCCTTGATGTGCATTTCTTCCGCTTCCTACGAGGATCAAATTCACATAGGTCAGTCAGACACCACTCACCGTGCCATGAAAAGAGAAAAAAAGGAAGGTTTAAAGAAGCATACCCACGTAGTGACTAAGTAGTCTGTAGTATTTTATAAAAGGCAAAAAGTAAGAAAGCCAAAACCAAATCAAGTTAAGTGGATCAGCAAATAGTATCACTGCTTCTGGCATCAAAATTGCTGCCACCTTCTCTGAAGGCACCGTGCATCTTAAGGGATTGTTTTTGCACAAAGCTTTGGAGAGATGAATTATGAAGCACAAGTTTTCCAACCATAAAGCTACCAACTGAAGTTATGCATTGTGGACATTGAAAATCATCATTTGTTGTGGCAGATTCATAGATGTTTTGCACATTTTAAGTCAAGACCTTTACATCAATATCATCTTACCTTAAACTTTCTCATGGACTGATACAGTCTTCCAAGGTTGCCATAGTGTTTTGCTGTTTGTACATTAAACTCCCCGAAGGCTTTTTTCGCTAACTGGAGTGAGGACAGATGCAAGTCGTGAGCTTCTTGAAGTAACCTCTGCTCAGTTTCCTTGTTGTGACAGTCTATTGCAATCTCCTCCAGGATAAGTGCTGAGTATAGGAGAGAAAAACACAACGTTACTGCGTTCCAAACGCAAAGAGATGTTAACTCTGAGTAGCCGAGATATCCCGAGATATCTCGGGAGACATCTAATCAGGCTTTGTGTTTACTACAAACTGTTTTCAAACAGGTATGACCAGATGTCAAGCTCTCAACACATATTTTTATACTCCGTATTTTTACTACCCCCCTCCTGCCCCCCCAAAAGAAGTCTTACGGCTAAGTTTTTTTGTATTTTACAAGCGTGTTGACAGAGAACGCTGAGGACTCCGAAGAGTATTCTGGAGCAATCTCCATTTTAAAAAAAACTTCAAGTTACATTGCCTCTGTTAGGGAAGAGGATAAACATATCCGAATGACTGATTTCAAACTGTCCCAGTAATGCAATTAAGGATACTACCTTTAACTCTCTTTGAAGATGCCAAGAGAAGATGGTCTTCTGGGAGAATGTGAGTTATAATGCCAATAGCACGTTCAGCATGGAATCTGAAAGAGTTTAAACAGAAGATTCAAGATCAATATTTAAGTTAGCAGCTGACTGATAAAATATTAGAAACATTAATGCAATAAGCAGATGCATTTAAATTCTAATAGGAAAGTCTGTATCGTTTAAGAACATTTTTCTCCATTTACAGTACTAAACTTGCTGCCAGTGCCTCCAACAATCGTACTCACAGTGCATTATCAAATTTTCCAGAGCTGTACTGGTGAACATACGAAGAGTAAGCCAAGTCTTCATGAGCTGTAGCTACATGTATGTTTTTACCTCCAAATACTGACTGCCGGATATCAAGAGCTGTCTGAAAGAGTTACAAGAATACCATTTCATCAGTTAATACAGAAAACACCCTAATGAATCTCTCTCTTTGTTAAAAAGGGGGGGAAAAAGTAAATCTACTGGCTCTAAAATGCTGTAGGGCCTATACCTACATGCTTGAGGTAGTAAATACATAAAAGCCACTTAAGAGTAGTCGGGGTATGTCCAGGAAACTAACCAGCAGTTTAATGCAGGCCCCTTACGGCTTTAGGGTGGGGGGGGGGGGGGGGGAGGGCAAAACCCCATAGTCAGTTTGTTTGTTCTTAAAAAAAAACCCCACACAACAAGCAGCATTGCAGTAATTAAATCAACTATTATCTATCTCTACAAATTAACTGTATGTGAGTTTCAGCAGAAACATTCGAGAGATTATGAATATCAAGAGAAACTGAAGACAGACACGTAGCCCTGCTGCATACCTGATAGATTGCAACAGACTGGCATATATTGTCTACGTTGAGCAAATAAAATCCATAGTCTAGTAGCGTATCAGAATATTTGGGGTGCTTGGCTCCAAAATGCTCCCTGTAGAAACATACTTACATTACAAATCAAGGCAAGTTAAGCATAATTTTACAAGGGGTTTTTTTGGAATGCTACTTACCGGGCAAGGTATACTGCGTGTTTTATCAGCTGTTCAGCCTTCTTAAACTCACGTTTTACAACACAAGCCTAAACAGGTTGAAATGAAGCATGTGAGCAGGTGCATACTCAGAACTCCTCTCCTCCAGATACTGGCCCAATTGCTAACTCCTATTTTTAATTTCAAAATATCATTATGGTTATTAAAGGACTTTTTGTTATTTAAGAAAAGGTTCACAGGTAACATTAATAAACTTGTATTTTATTCTGCCATAAATGCCTGAGGGGCTGGTACTGTACCTAGCCTAGATCAGGCAGGGGAACAGACCACCCTTTTATGGAATGCTCGCGGGTTAACTTTGTCATGACGTTCGTCTGAACAGCTGTAACTCAGCATCGGGAAGAGGGAAAAAAACCAAATCCCCACAGGTCTGAGACTGAGGTGGGCCAATTAAACACAAACAAGCAGCCGTAAGGCTGATGAAATAGACCTGGTTATTCTGGAGGCGCTACCGACCCTCACCCATTGGTGGTAGTAATTTAGTTACAAAAGAAACATGGAAGATTTTAAATTCACCTTCGAAGCTTGTCGTAAAACATCCACTACTACTTTTACAGGCAGGCCAACTGTGATCTCCTTCATAGCTTCTATACACCATTTATAAGCCTGTCGAAGAAAGGAGTTACCAATGTAATGAAGCTGGAACTTCGCTATGTTGCAACATTAAGAAAAATATTACTTGGCTCTGAAAAATAAACTGGTCATTTACATTACAAAATTTTAAAAATTCTGTTCAATCCCTTATGGGTAATGAAACTTGTTCAGCCAAGTCTTAAAAGACAGACTTAAAAAGCTCTCTTAAGGTTAATACTGTAAACTAAGCATATTATATATATGTACATATATACAGTATACTGTAAAGTATTTTATACTGGCCTAAGTTATGTATACTTACAATGACTGTATTATCTTTTACAGACAAAAAAGGGTATTTTATAATCTCTAAGTAATCCCCAAAATTCGTACTGTGTAGGACAGCTTCCCGGTCAGTGTACTTAGGAGCTAAAGGAAAACAGCAGTTTATACAGTGGTTACACTTAAGTCGCAGGGTTTTATAAAACAGGTGCAAAGAAGCGTTACCTATCTTCTGCTATTCATTTTTACCTATTAAAATAAGCTTTTTATAATATTCCATTTACAGATTGGCAGTATGTGTTGGTTATCTATCACGCATCGTTTCTTAATGTTCGTCAAAGCACCATTACGAGCTTGCAGACTAACTCAGAACAATGCATAGAAAGAAAAGTCAATAAATCAAGTATTCCTCTGGTACTGTCACGCAGGTACCAAAAGAGATCAGGAACTCTTGCTTAAAAGATAATGCGAATAACGAGCCACTCATGGAACGCCCTAGCAGATTTCGAACCAGCTTTCTGAAGAAAAACAGAACCAAAATCCCACTCACCTCATCATAGTGGCTCTTGGCAAAGAGCAGCGCGCACAGCTCCCCGTAGAGCGCTGCTTTGTTTGCCTGCTGACCGTGTTTTGCAAGTTTGTCCATGTAAGACTGAGCGAGTTTGAATGTTTCTTCTCCCAAGTGATATTTACAGTTACCGTTTCGAACGTGCAGCAACCTTCGGAAGATGTAAAGAGCTCTTCTAAACAGTGTCTGAATAAACCATTTCAATATACAGCAGTACCACAGATCTACAATTTGGTATTATACTTACAACAGAGCCGGGCTGTCATCCCAGCAAAACTGCACTGTCTGAATTCAGTAATAGAGAAGAACTATTTACAGAATACTGTTTCAGTACACCAGTACACTGTCTCTTGTATGGCAAGAATTTTTACTGCTGGAGATGTCAAATGATTTTACATACTGATGCTGTTTTACATATCCAATGCTTGAACCACTTTGGTGTGGTGGCTTTGTTTTATTTCTCATAAAATCCATTCTTCTCAACGCTGATAAAATTCCAAAACCCTGCAATATACAGTATTAAATCCCTTCTACCTCCTTTCCAAAGTACGGTAGACTGAAACAGACACTGAGTAAGGACAGACACAGGTAGTTTTCACGCTTCTCTGCACTTTTTCCTCAAACCTTACGTAGCGCAGTGCTTCACAAGTGGGCATTGTTTTGTTTGGGGGGCTTGAGGGAAGCAGGTAGAGAAGGGGAGTGTCTTCACAAGAGGTTCAAATCACATCCATTGGCCATGATATCCAGCACTGACTTAGCACCACCAGCAAAGACCGCTTTGTCGACCCAGTTCACAACAACTCTAAAAACCCTCTCCCCCCACCTTGCCCCATCTCCTAACCCGCTGCCTTTCCATCTGAAGGATTAACAGGAGCTTCATGAAACGACAGCCAAACGCAAACCATAGAACGCAGCGCTACTGAAACGCACTCTTGTTTCTCTAGAGAAACAAGAATTTTGGCTTCTGGCATCTATTTAAAACAAAAGTAAAGAAGTTTTTTTGTAAGTGTAAGCTGATGCTTATTTACTTTAAAGAGATCTATTAGAAATGTGTGTGTTATCACATTCCAAGCCTAAAGGGCAGAATCGTATTCCTACCCATAGCAGGCTAAGACGAGACAGCTGTTCCTTCTCTACTGCAAATGCCTGCCATTTAGCACACATGAAATTTTGGTAAATGAACTTCCATTGTCCCTCCTGGAAATCTGTTAGTAGACAATGAGCAATAGAGATTGAAAAACATCAGGCAAGCCTTTGCAAACCAGGAGGACAACATAACACAGGAAGAGAAATACAGAGAGAAGCGAAGCAGAACATAAGGCTGTATTGCAGAGAGGCTAAAACTCTGAAAATGTGAGCTAATGTATAGGCACAGCACTTTACACCTTTTATGATACATTATGATAGATCTTCCAATAGACTGTTGAGGGGGGAGGAAGGAACAGGGAGGTTTTTGATCAAATGTTTCTCTTCTCTAAATCCGAGCAGAGATTTATAAAAGTTATTGTAGCCATGCCTCCTGCAACAGCAAAGGAATACATCTAAGTTTGTCCTACGAATTCAGCCTGCCTCTAACACAGCCTCCTCCTGTACTTTCCTATTGAAAAGTATCATGAAACTCAAATAAGAACAGAAATAAAGTTCACATTTTCACAAGGGAGCGGCAGGCAAGCACACAGCAGATGTGAATTAGCCACACAAAGAGAAGATCAAAAGAAAAAACCTTCAAAAAAAACCCCTGAAATGAGCTACATAAACAAACAGCAGCTTTCCAATGAGACACACAGCAACATGGCTCAAGAACAGAAAGAAAGCAGCAATGACCACGTTTTTCCTTAAATAAGGTCTGAGAACTAAACACGATGTAGAAGTGCATCACGTTCTTGGTCACGGGCAGCAGAAAGCTATCTAACATTCAAGAAGCAAGAGACGGGAATGTTAAAGAAACTAGAGAGAAAAACTAAGCAATTACAGTTTCTCTAAAGAAAGAAACTATTTTGCCTACACCATTCAACTGGGAGCTGCTACGCAACATCAAAAATAGGAAGCTCAAATCCCATGTAATGGTATGAGCCAGCAGGGGTAGTACTGCAATTCAGATAAGCACCCGGGAAAGATAATATCCAGTATCTGGATGCTTCAGCAATAGTGTCCAAAACCAAAGAAATTGACCAAAAACACAAACTAAACCTAACTCAATCCTCTGGGAAAAGCGGAGTTTATGTGATCCAGTTTTGAGTAACAACAAATCCTTTATTAATCCAAAGGAATTTTAGAAGATAAAGCCAAGAGGAAGAATAAATGCCTTAGGACATTTATGCTAATAGCTATGAATCTTCTTTGATGTCTGCAATAATAGCTCTTGGGAATAACTTGCTCCCTCCCGACCAAATAAAATCATTCTCCAAGAGCATACACACGTAGCAAACGCAATGTTACGCAGCAGCTCAGGAAGTCTGAAAACATCAGAAAAACCAACAAGAATCAGCAAAATGTGAAACAATGACGTGGGAGAACCATGTATTTGTAATATGTATTTGTGCCGCATTGGTTAACACACAATAATGAGAGAAAGCAAACCAAAAAGGAGCACAACACATGCAGGAAAGTAGTATACAAGCTTCTAGAAATCTCAAGTCTTCCAACTTTCTCAAGTTTCTCCATATAATTTACTACTGCTAGTACAAAGAAACACCAAATTACGTCTAAACAACACAAAACTTCACTTTTCTTTAAAGTGTAGTCTATTAAGAATGAAATGTATTAAACTCCCAGAAATTAGACTTTTTCGCTTTTAGAATAAGAGCAGCCACTTTTTTATAAGGTGTCATATTTTCAAAAGCTGGACTTAAATGTCATTCTCTCAAAACTCCACCTAACTCCAGTGCAAGGACAGCGGTAAGAACGATATTCCACAGTAGGGACTAGAGAGCAACAACAACATGTGTATCTTACTGCCTCACGACTTTGAAGCCAAATATAAATTACTGCTCTCTCCCACAAAAAGATTTTCAGATTTTACATACTTAGCACTTCTGAAAGTGTTTTAAATTCTTTCTATTTGATACATTTCCAACGGAACGATGCTGTTATTTGATTGTGTGGGAGATGCCTGAACATAAAGCAGTGTCTCCTCATTCACTGTTGCCCAGAGGGACTTCATGTCACATGCAGGCCACCAGCTTTCGTTACAAGAACGATGGCTGTCTCTACCCAAACAGAATTAACATCTCCCGTTCAGAAGAGTTCATCCTAACGTAGGATGGTTTTTTCTAGCACAAAATGAAAGTCTTCTTTCCACAGCTGTGCGGGCTGTATGCTGTTGTCCAACAGAGAAGGAGTTCGCTTTTTTCCTTCCTTTACCTTTTTTTCTATTTGGAGACGGGGAGGGAGTTTATTTTTAAGGCAATTTCTCCAGCTTGCCAAACAGCCCAATACAACTAGGAAACTTTTTTTAGATTCTATTAGAAGGCAAAGGACCAAGTACTAACAGTGGTACTACATCCATTATTCCCCAGTTCTAGGAAGGTGTGTATGTGTGCCCAGTCTTCTCCTGGCATCATCTTATTTCTGGAATGAAAGCCAGTGGTAGCTGGCAAGGCAGAGCAGCAGCTGTTGCCATGGCCCTCTCGTTGGCACACAAAATAAGCAGCTACTGGCAAAGCCTATTTACTCTTCATATTTGTCCAACCATGAACAAGATGCAGGGTTTTTTTGGAGCAGTTTTCCAAAACAAGTTTTGCCCTATATTCAGATAAATACAGTACATACTTTGTTGTTCATTACAACAGCTAAAAAAAAAAAACCAACCAAACCCCATTTTAACTCTGCTCACTAGCACACACGTATTCGAGTTTATACCTGTAGCACACAAAAGAGGTCAGTCAAGGTGTTACCAATGAAAACAACCTGGCTACTTGCTGCAGACTGCATCAGCATAGTACACATCTACATATACAGATGTAAGAGCAGAACAACTAAAAACTAAAAAGTCATAATCTTGGAGGCCTCTGTGAATGGAATTTGAATCCCAATGGACCCCACTACAGGCCTTGAGAAACAAGGCAGGTACAAAACCCAAATGCCGGAAAAGCAAAAGTTCTTTTCCAACTGTTTAAGCTGTGGCTGAAAGCGTCCAGAAGAATTAGACATGTAGATATTTACCTAATCACATAGTTACGTAGCTCAGCATGGAGCAAGAGAACGCACTGGATCTGGAATCAGGAAAGGTACGACTTCCTTTTATTTCTGCTCAACTGTAGTTATATCATTTGTGTTTGGATTTGGCAAATTTGTGAAAAACAAGCACCTTCCGATCTTCAGCTCCAGCCAGGAAAGTATTTTGGTGCAGCAGAATACTAAAGTTGGTAACACATTAATGCATATTTCACAGTAAGACATAGGAATTAAAGGTGAGCTCACCTTACACAACATTCTACGGCACGAAACCAATGAAGGATTTCATCATGAAGGGTGCATAACTGAAGGCAGGAAAGAAATACCTTCTCAGCATCACTGTACCAGCCTGCATCTGACAGGAACCCCCCTGGGGGGGGGGGGAAAGAAAAAAAAAAAAAATCAAGAACAGAAATTTGAACAGCAAAACACCTTCTGAAGAGAAAAAGGGTTTGCTCAAGTCTTGTAAGAAGACTACTTATCTCGTATTTCACTACGAATAAATATAAAGACAGGAATACATTAGTTCAGTATTCCCCCTGCCAAAATACAGAGAGGCATTGCTAAACAACTTGGGAAAAAAAAAAAAAAAAAAGAGGAAAAAGTGAGAGCAAAGGCAGCCTTTTTCTGTTTCACAAAACAGTTCTGACAAAATTTCATAGAACTGCATACTATGTACAGGAATCCTGTCAAGGTTAAACCCTCCGGTGCTGAATGGAAAAGGATGAAATGTAAGAGTAAAAGAATTCTTCTGCAGCTGAAGATGACTTTTGGTATTACATAGTTTTCCTACAGTTTTCTGTCAAGAAATACTTACCAATACTAAAATTATGCAGTATTAACATTAAGCATCACAGCTGCAAACAAACCTTAAATCTAAAACATTTGAAATAGCAAAGATAAGCCTATATATTCTCAGATATTAAAATCTGATATATTTTTCTTAAGACAGCAAGTAGTTTTCTAAAAATTACATCCCAAACACACACGTTCTTTAAAAAGAAATCACAGACACTAGCATGAAAAAAAATCAGCATTAGCTAAACTGAAGCTCACGTGAAAGAAAGTATCATATTTTAAACAGCCTGTCATCACCAGTTACCTAAAACAAAACCAATCTGGATTGCTTTTTCTTTTACAGCAGAATCCGATTCTGCTATGTAGGAGCACCGTCTACTGAAAGAATAGGCCAGTACAGAAGCAACTTTTACTCCATGGTCCATCAAAGCCTGAAAACAGTGATGAAGCAGATGTCTGAAACAAAAGAAAACAGAATTTGATTACACATGAAGTTTTTAAAACACTGCAGTCAGCTGGCTCTTGAGTGCCATGAATTCAAATGAGCAGTGATTCAGAGAAATAACTCCAACCCTCTCTCAAACCAAAACCAGATGAATACAAGCACAATTGTCAATCTCAAGGCTAATGGATTACAGTTGTTGGATTATCCAACAAATAAAGTGAGTGTACACAAAGTTCTTCACAAGGACACCCTCCAGTGTAAGCTAAACACAAGCTACCCACACAATATTAAAACTGGAAAACAACATTTTCAGCTCAAACTTAGAGGGGAGGAAGCCTCAAATCCACCCTTACCCCACAACTCCCATAGAAACTGCGGATAAACAAGCAGTGACAAACCTATTAACATCACACACATGCAAACAAGGGGAGGGAGGTATGTCTAAAGACTCAAAGCTTGTTCTGGTTACAAAGAATCTGATCTAAAAAAGTCTGAGTTCTGAGCAAAACACCACAAATTGGAATATTTAATGACAGGAAAACTCTTTAAACTGGGGCAATCCTATCAGTTTGATAACCCTTCACTTACATTTTGCTACAACAGCAGGAAACAGATACTTTGCCATTGCTCAGGGCCTGGCTAGGCATTGATCAGTTGGTGGTGAGCAACCGGGGGGTTTTGCATCACTTGTTTTTCTTGTTTGTGTTTTTTTTTTCCTCTCTCTCTGTTGTTTTCTTTTTCCCTTTTTTTTTTTTTTTTTAATGATTAAATTGTCTTTATGTCAAGCCACAGGTTTTCACACTTTTACCCTTCCAATCCTCTCCTCCATCCCACTGGGTGGGGGAGTCAGCGAGCAGCTGCGTGGTGCTTAGCTGCCTACCGGGGTTAAACCACAACAGCAGACTGCACAGCAAGAACAAAGAAAGCACTTTGGGGACCAAGTACCACACATGACTTCATAAATTTACACAGAAGTTCCAATTGTTTTATTTTTTGAGACAAAGAGAGAGAAAGATTTCATAACTTAAAACTTCATCTGTAAATCTAAAGAAATATTCTTATGGTTAATAGATGGGCTACTAAGACCAAGAAAATTAGAGACATCTTCCGAATTCAAAACCCGTATCAAGAGGCAAGAGCTGAAATGAGAATTATCAATATATTAAGATACTTACCTTTTATCTAAAGCTCGTAGCACCTTTGCAAAAACTTCTAGTTCACAAAATTCACTACCCAGCTGGCATAAGCGGCCCTGTTGGTAAAGCTGAAAAATATAAATATAGTTAAAAATTTAAGACTGGGAGTTCTTCTGGGAAATGTAGCTTAATAGTAAAGATGACTTATGATGGAATCTAGACTTCAAAGTATTGAAATACAGCAGACTAAAAAGTAATAGTTCCATTATCTCCACACAGGAGCACAACTTAAGTGTTTCAAAACAAGCTCTGAGAGCTCCATAGGCGGTTTCAAGGTTTTTTTTATCCACAAGTTTATTTTCAAGTGTCTACTATGCCCACCTGCATCATCAAAACACTGCAACACCTAAGCTATAAAGCCAAGGCAAAACAAAAAACCCTAAAGCCAGCGAAAAATACAATGAATAGCTTCTTTGACACCGAATGCTTTGAAAACATTTTTTTAAATGACACAGAATCTAGTATACAGCCATGCAAATAGATTTTATGTTATATATAAATAAATACATATAAATGCACGCCAAACCCACAAGTCCTGCAATGGGTGACTCACCAATACCCAGGGCTCAAGACAGGCATGAGCCCTGACCCCATTAATACCTGAGGTTACACAAGTAATTCCTGCATGAGTAAATGGGAAGACTCAAGTGAATCTGTTCATGCATTTATTAAAAGCAATGGCTAGTTTTATGCCCAAACTGATTTGTGTCTGCAGATAAGCAAATATATCAGTTGGCTGCTTCATAAAAAACAAACCACGGAGACAGTTCTTTATGCAATGCATAGTTAAGTTGCAGAGCTTTCTGCCGCATTATGCTATAAATACTAAGAATTTACATAGGTACAAAAGTGACTGTAAAATGTACGGCAGAAGAATCCATCACAGCCTATTAATTCCTGATATCTTGAAGCCCCTGAACCACAAATGATGGAAAGCAGGGTACGTAACCGAAGGAAGCACCACTGTACACTTGCCAGAGTCAGATGTACCATCACCAGCCGCTGCTGGAGGCACAGCACTGGATCACACAGGACTGTTGCAGTACAACTGTTTGTTATCTTAGGTGTTCTAGAAAAAACACACACACACACCCTTTTTTATTTAAAGAAAAAAAAAAAAAAAGAAACTCTTTCTGTGAGGCAGTAACTCCATGGGGAAAGAGGGAGAAGCCAGTAACTCGTGTCTCACAGGCACTTCTCTCTAGAAGCTGCATCTTTCAACGCAGGCCATTCAAGATCCATTGCCGTTCTTCTGTGGTATCTGTGCTATGCGACGCAGGGATCGGAAAACTACGGTTTACCAGTAGACGCAAACAAGACCATACTCTTGAGTTTCACGCCATCATGAGCACGCAGGCGAAGCACTGCTACGTCGCACTCTTACCAGTTATTCAGAAGACCCTAATTTCTAGTCCATACGTTAAGACATTCCAACGTACGCTGTCCAAAACGGGCATATTCATACCTACAGCAAGGTCCTCCCTGCTATCTAAGCAGGTTTTACAGCTATGAGGAACTTGGACACGAGGAGCACAGCTACCCCTACCCTGTACACAAAAGTAAGGCTGAGAGGACACATTATTTAGAGATGCTCAATTACAAACACAGATTTAATGAAAATTTTAATATTCCTCTCAGTTTTAATAATTTCTTAAAATACTTTTTTTGAGAAGTGTCTTGTGTCTGGTTCACCTTTTTCTCCACAAACACTGGAAGCAGAAGAATTAGTATTCAAAACAAAGCATGTGAGAACAGCTCCTCCAGCCAGAAATTTAGTTTTAGTCAACTCTTATTATAAATGCACATGACAGAGACTCTACAGCACAGGAAGTTTGTTATTTTAACAACAGAACCTACAAAAAAAACTTCAAAAATACTTTGACCTAATAATGTCAATTGCCAGAAATGAATGTTTTCCTTTTAGTCATCTATTTTGCTGACGGGGGGGGGAAAAGGAACTCCTTTAAAAAGCAGTGTAAGTTTGCATGCAAACAGTGCCTTGTCTCTGCACTTCAAAGAGATCAGAGTTTGTTCTGAAGCTATATTTTTCCTGGCAGCGAAAGAACATCCAGTCTGGTGTATTTAAAAACTACAGTCATGGTGAAGTGTTCTCGTTTTCTTCGACACAGCTGTCTCATGGTAACTGTTCTATAAAACCCCAAACATATTTTCCGCAATCAAAAAAGAGGATTAAATCTTGCCTAGTATTCTAGGCCCAAAACTGAAGGTGGACATCTTATCAATAATTGATAAGAAAATTTCTAGACAAAACTAAGACATATACCCAAGCTGTTTTACCAGGACTTAATCAAAAGTACTATCACATGTTCAACATTTAGGCTTTCAACTAAGTACATTATCATTTCCCCTTATCACCTTGCAGTGCTAACCAAAAATCCCAGAGATTACTCTGACACTAGTTTACCAAATACTAACTGTATTAAGAGTTTTAAAAATTACTATATTTATGAAGTTACATAAACATAAGTTGTAATATGCCTGCTGTTACATCTGATTCTTAAATTCCTACTAAATAAATGCCCCGGTTGGGGGGGAGGGAGGAGGTCCCAAACTACACCCTCAGTTTTGATATATCAATTAGTTCAGGCACATGTAAATTTTGGCTTGCAGCCCAGAAGGTCCAAGCCTGCTGTCTGCGCATCTCTCAACCCAATTCAAAGGTAAACACTTGTACCATTCTGGCACGCAGAAAAAAAAAAACCACCAACCTATTTTTCACTGGTATAACCAGAAATACAGTATCCTTGGAACGTTTACCACACTATTGACCCCTTCCCTCAACATACTTGCAAACATTTTTAAGGAACTAACTCAGCTTGAAGTCTCTCGAAACTGTTGTAGCTGTTACAGCAATATTTTCAAACAAAATTTGACATGGAAATAGTGAGTGAGTATACGTCAAACTGTGAAGCAATTCCAGGAGATTCAGTAACACTCATTTGCCCATTGAGAAGCAGTTGCAAGCACTGAAGAAATGGCTCTCTTGTTAAAGCTCCAGAGAGACAAAATTCCTGACCACAAGCCTTGCTACATAACATGAAAAACAAAACAAAATAGTGATTCAAGAAAAACATGCCCTGACAAGAATGGCAGAGGTTTGGACTTCTGAAGAACTATTCTTTTCTCAAGAAACAAATGTCTTAGACACAAACTTAACCTATTTGGAGCTTAACAGAGATTTATTTTTCTTTAACTGTAGAAAAATGAATAAGAGCCTACAATATGACCTCCAGCTTCATCAGCTCACATTGACACATTAATTCTGGCACTGAAGACAGGAACCGAGGTATAAGTTTAATATATATATGTATTATTACACACATGCACAATCAAACTGGTTTGCATAGCTGTGAGACAATCACCATGATCCTCCTTCACGATCTAAGGCTTAATATTTAACTCTTAACACATCCACCTAAACATTCAAAAGCAGCATATAGTCCTCAACTAAACATATTAATAACATTAACTTGTAACTTATCTATTATTATATCATCATGCACATGTAATTCTATTAAAGTTCTTGTCAGATTTCTCTCTCTGGATAGATTAAGCTGAGCTCTAACTGCTTCCTAGCAAACCCTGAAAATAAAGACAATGTTAAACTGCTAGCAAAAGCAAAGCCGTAACACAAGAGAAAAAGCTATACGGTATTTGTGTCACCAACACTCTGGGCTGTTTCACTATGTACAAGCACAAGAGAAAAGATTTTTCTAAACTTAATGAACAAATAATAAAAATGTAAAAAAAAAAAAAATCACATTTTAAAGCAGCTGAATATTAATTCTAACCAGTTGTAAAAGGACCCTCTAGAAGAACTGTAGCATACGCAATTTGAAAAATATGCTCCTATTGCTTCATTTTGGAAGAGAACTGAAAAATAAATACGGATATTTCAGTAAGAATTAAAAATACAAGGAATTCTAAGGAGCTCCCAGGCATGTTTAGTAATGTCTAATAATGTAGTGTGGAATATTATGCCAAATTTGGGAAGGACTGTATATTTAATCAACAGACATCAGTATCTGGGAAAAAAGGTTGGCTGTAACCACAACCTACTGAACACGGACGGTGGAAGTTTCTTGACAGTCAACAGTGCACTGAATCAATCTATTGACAAACGACTCATTAGAGATGTGGCAGGGGGAACAGCCTTAGAAAATACTCAGAAGTGTAGGTACATTCGATTCTTTTCAATCAATTTCAAAAGCATCTACAAAGCCTCTGGACAAGCACTAGTTCTATTGGATATTGTTTAGGGCACAAAAAAGGGCAAACTTTGCAGCTCTTCTTTGAAAACATACTGCCAATTATGAGGCTGATCTTTATGAACCTCGATCAAATAAATAAATAATCAAGAAAAAAAACCCCCGACCTTATTGAATAAGCCTAACTTCAGAGACAACTTTTGGAGCCTACTGCTTTCCACACACAGCAAACTTCTCCACATCTTCCCACTCACTCCTCTTTCTGTACCACATCAGCAAGTTTTTTGTTTCACATCTACACAGAGTCCAGCACAAGGGATACAAAATCTGAGCCTTACAGTCACACACACGTATGATTCTGCTCAGCAGTAAATGGGGAAAACCAGTTTGCTTTGAAGGTAAACCAGTACAAAGGAAATGAGGTGGAAATAGGAATTATTGTTTCAGCAGAACCTGAACACCTCTGTCCACGATGTGACGTCATTATCTGAATTACGATGGGTTCTAGCATCTAAGACTAAACAAGGATACTGAAAAAAATCGGGAAGCTAGAGCATATCAGGATTAGAAAACATGCCCCATAGTTAAGAGGTTCAAAAAAAAAAAGAAAGAAAAAGCAAACTGAGTAATACACGTTAGAAGAATGGTAAGCAAAAGCAAGAAGTTTCAAACCAGTGAAGACATAACAAGGAAGGATGGTTCAGTTCTAGTCTAAATTTAGACTCCAGAAATAAGGCACATGTTAAAATAAAGAGTAATACTAATTGGAAAAAAAACTCATGAAGTGATGATTCTCCTTCACTGTGAGGCTTTAATTTAAAAGGGGGCGATGCAAGGAT